CTGCAATGTCACGTTCACTCATGAGACGACTGTTAGCACGTTCACGGGCTTGGAGGACAACACGGCGATCACGATCAGAGAAACGGCTCCAAGTGTCTTGGGAGTATCCACCGTTGTTGAGGATGGTGGTGCCATCATCGGACCATACAGTACCATCGTGGTCTCGACTACCACCTCGTCCGCGACCTCCGCCACGTCCATGTTGATTACGATTACGATTACGACCACCACGATCACGACCACCATTATCACGATCTCGACCACGGCCACGTCCGCGATTGGAGTTTCGTCCACCACCATCGACCGCAGCTAAGGCTCTTGTGCCGCTAATCGCAGTTAAGCGATGAGTTTGCTGGGCCGTATCTTCAGTCTGCAAAGTGTTGATAGCCGTGCGCAGGTTTTGCATACATGCCTGACTTCCTCGGACAAGTGTCTTACAGGCGTCCAAGCCTGCACCCTGCGGGCCTTCTTTGATCATGCTCAAGAACTTGGTTACCTTGGCATGTTCCGACATGCCATCGCAACAATTTTTCAAATCTTCAAAGGCACCAAGAACCCGTGCCGCAAATTTTTCAAAACTAAAATTCTTCTTTCCATTGTAGTGGGTCGTATTCAAGATGCGGTAGGCAGAGTCGCGCCTCTTATTGAGTTGGCCCTCACCCTGATAGTGGGCAACCAGATCAAGATACGCTTGCCTTCCATTTTCTGTAGTCTTGTATCCCTTTATAACAGGCCAAGCATCGGTTCCATGGCATACCGAATGTAACATATTCCACACAGCTTTGTTATTAGCGACAAACTGGTCCTCTTGATGCAAGCTCCGGCGAATTGCCTCATCTTCCACAGATGGCATAAGGAAACCAGGATCAGCTTTGGATTGTCGTCCGGATTTTGATGCTCACTGATTACATATGTTAACAAAGTGCCACCTTTTCCGCGATTGCGTTTCAACCACTGTTCTAAGCTCTCCATCAGTTCGACCGTATTTTTATTGTCAAATTTGGGAGGCATAACCTCTGAAATATCTTCAAATTCGTTCGACTTGTTCTTCAAGTGGGAATAATAGCGATTGATTTTTGCCAAATTCGCTTGCGTCCCAAAAGCTGGATCATGTTGGCGATCCACCATATAAATAAATCGGCAATAGTCGCAAAGGTCGTAGAGCATGATTTTCTGGGCTTGGTTGATTGAAAATGTAGTGTCAGGATCATTTCCTGGATCAATCACAGTGCGATTGATCTGTTTCACCAAGGAATCAATATTTTCGCGCGTCGAGCGGGCAAAGAAAGTAGGGGAACTGAAGCCCTGTTCAATAACAATCTCTTGTGCCTCATCCTGAGAGAAATCGAGAACATCTCGAATGTAGTTTCTCCATGCGATTCTCGCAGCGACCATCGTTCAATGTCTTTCGTGTTGTTGTGAAAATAACACGGCACAAATTTCAATATTTTCGTTTCGCCAGTTGTTTTCAGTTTCTGATCGGAGTCGTATAATGCAATTTTGCACGACTACGTCAGTGTGAGATCTTAATTAAAAGAATCGCACGACAAATAGTTATATACGGAGTATCGAGCGAGATATCCTGGGTACGTCTACCCGTGTGGCAAATTACTCGCAACCAAACGGTTTAAACGGTAACAAGTGGCCGTCTTCAGTCAACGCTCGAGACTGAAATGTAGCGACGTGAAAACCACGGATCCTTCGACAATGGGCGATCCAACCTTTGCCGGTCGTCCACAAACTTTGGAGACCAGATATTATTTCAAAAAGCCTTCTCAAGCTTTAGCTCACAACAAAGAGCTTTCTGGGTCTGATAAACCGTTAAAATGCGCTGCTAGTCAGCCAAAACAGATCAATTACTGGACGAAATATAGACAAGGAAAACTTGTGACTACCAGATCCTTTCAGATTACAAAACTACACGTACGGAGGACAGACCACGTACTTCCCAAAATAATGTATTAGTCGGAGAATTAGGAAGTGGGCTTAAAAAAGTATTAACTGACGTTAAAAAATTATTACCATCAAATCGTCAAGTTACAATTAAAAATTTTGAAATTGAAAACGTTAATTGGACCAGAGAGTGTCCGTCATTTGTACGTTTAGATAGTTTAACCTAGAGATTTGCACACATCTTGTAAAATCCCCATGTTTGTCATCGTACTCGTTTTCGTCCCGAATCTCTCGTACCTCGCTACTCAATAGAACGGTTTATCAGACCCAAGCAATCCACAATGGATAGAGGAGCCTGGGAAGGCTTTCGAATAATATCTGTTTGAGGAAATCGCCTCATTCAGCCATGGTTAGGATCACCATCGTCGTATCGATCTCGTGTTTTTTTCATGCCACAATTTCGGCGTTTGGATGCGCACCGAAGGCTAATCACGTCGCAGCGTTAACTAAATTGTTCGCTAGCGAAGGCTAAACGGCAGACGTGCCATGCGTGCAACCATCCGTGCCACGTTTATATACAGCTCTCAATATGAGATGCTTCGACATTTAGGGTTAAATTATTTGAAGCTACCAGATATCACCAACGTTCGCCTTCTGGCGATTCTCTCCGGTGATTTCTGACTTCAAGTCCGACACTTTTTCGAACTGAAACCAAACAACACATCAAAAACATCAAAAAAATCGTTCACACATCATCGCATCACAATGGCTGCTGTTATTCAATTTCGTAACTGGTGCGAAGTCGATCTCCTTATTCGACCAGTCCTCACGCACCACATGACCGACGTTGAAGGACTTGACTCTGTTGACTCCTTCGCCAACAGAACAACTTCTCAACTTCGCGAAGACATCAAATCTATGCGAAGAGCCCCTGATCCCAACAATGCAAATGCGACTATTGGAGTCACCGCTCGCGAATCGATGACGATTCATCGTATCTCCAAATACGGGAAGCTCCTCATTTTGGTTCAAAGAACCCACACTCCAGCTCTTGGAACCATTCCAAATCTTCTTTTTATTGGCCAATTCTATGATGAAAATCCGGATCTCATGGAAGGGGACTCCTACCCGCTTCCTCCTCATCCCCCAAAGTTCAACAATCGCGATGGCCGAATCATGATGGAAAACATTGAAAGTTGGGCTTGTACTGCCTACGGATATCGTGGAATTCGTCTTGATTATATCTTCCGTGAAAATTCTGAACTTCCAGTTGCTGGTGACCCTGGATTCCTTCGAGCCGACGACTGCTCTCGTTCCATCGAAGAAGAACTTGTTCGACGTGCTGCCCATACTGGTGCTGTGTTCCGTCGCAACAACCAGAAATTTTGGGTTATGCTCCATGCAGTCACACATGAAACCGATGCCTACAATCATGTTCGCCAATTTGCTCCAAGTTTGAATGGTCGTGCTGCTTACTTCGCTCTGTTTGCACAATATCGTGGAAGGGGACATTTCACAAATGAACGCCAAGCTGCTGTCCGTGTCCTTGCAACACTTCACTGGAACGGTAAAGCTCGAGGCTTCACATGGAATACTTTTATCAGTCGCCTTATTGGAGCCTTCAACGACCTCGAGTTGAACGGTGATCCACGCTCTGATGCAAATAAGGTTGACGTACTTCTGGAGAAAACTGTTGGAGATTCCTCACTCTCTAATGGAAGATCACATATTACTGGAGATGCCGTTCTCCGATCAAATTTCCAAGGTGCCATCGATTATTTAACAACACAAGTTTTAGCTGCCGGTAACGACAACACCCAGCGCCGCAATCGACAACTTGCTGCTTTTACTCGTGGTGGTGGCGGACGCGGTGGTGATGGTAGAAGTGGAGGTCGTGGCCGAGGAAATGGCGCCACAAACCGTCTGCAATCGAATGTACCAGATCGCTTTAGCCGAAATGGGATACTACTAAATGATGGAGGTTATTCAAATCAAATCTGGAGAGAGGAGTTTACACAAGAAGAAAGAAATGTTTGCTTAGAAATGCGTCGCAACCGTCGCAATGGTGGTGGTCGTGGCGGAAGAGGCCGTGAAGGCCGTGAAGGCCATGGTAGAGGTCGTGGTATCAGCGCTGTCCATAATGGACGAGCTGATCAAGAAGAAACAAAGGAAGAAAATAACAATGATGGGCGTGGGGCCGGTGCAGGAATGAGTCGTCGCCGTCGCAACACTCGTGACAACGATTGACTAGGAACCCCATCTGTTAGATCCCTCACGAGCACTCGCCCAAACTCTCGTATGGTATCAGTGCTATCATCCACAAACACCCTTACCAACCGATGTGAACTGGACTCGCACGCAGATACATGTGCTTTTGACCCTGCTGGATGTTGCGTCCTTTCAACGTCCTCTCAGTCAATAAATGTCACCGGTTTTCACAATGGTTTGAAAATAA